ATAAAGCTAATTTTTAAGGCACAAACGTTGCTTGTTCATTATCCCTTTTAATGGGGTTCTGTTTTTTTTTTTATTTATTTTATTCCACTTATACTAGAAACTCAACTAAACAAGTAACAGTTGAGTTCAATAGGCTCTTAATGCAAAACTAATATTAATTAACAATAAAATTGAGTATAAGCATAATAAAACAAATAAGAAGAGAAAAAAAAAGAAAAAGAAAAAAGAAAAAAAAAGCATGTACACTATCAGCATAGGAGCACACTTACAACCGGTACAGGACCAAATTGCAAATGAACCCCTAAGCCATCGCAAACATGCATAAGCCTGGCAACCGATAATAAATTGACAATAATTCACTTTCGAAACGTAACGACTTTTTAAGGATGAAAGCTAGTTTAAATACGACATAGGTAAATCGCGCGTATTAAGCAATGTTGCTTTAATGGACTTTAAAGGGTCCGATAACGAGAATAAGTGGTAGACGTCATTTAGGTTCTTGCAAACGACTCTGAGCGGATTGAACAGCTCATAATTAAATTTACACTGATTAAGCTTTACCAAGATAAAGTGCCTAGAGAAGCGGTTAGGGACATTGAAGCTTACTTCACCAAGTAATGAAGGCGAGTCAATAGCACCATTTATTACTTTAATTAGAAAGGAAACGCCAAGAACAAATCTACGTTTCTCAAGAGACGGTAGGGACAGCAGAAGCAACCTATTTTCATACGGAGGAAGAGAGGCAATCGGATCCCAACCCAAATTTCTAAGGGCAAACAGCAAGAATTGCTTTTGAACTGATTCAATTGAATCTACGTAGCACCTATATGAAGGAGACCACACAACTGAGGCATACTCGAGTATGGGTCTAACCAAACACATGTACAGCCTTTTCGTAATGTAGGGATCATCAAGCTCTTTGGACCACCTTTTTATAAAACCAAGCGCGGACCTAGCTTTGCTAATCGAGAGCTCAATATGCAAGTTAAAACGTAACCTATGGTCAAATAGGACGCCTAAATCCGTAATCGAATCGACGTCCTCCAACTTATGCGAATCTATGAAATACTGAGTAATGAATGACTTTCTTCTTGAGAATGAAAGCTTCTTACATTTACTCAGATTTAGTTGCAGGAGATTCAAAGAGCACCATGCAACAAAATTATCTAAATCACCTTGAAGCTGATGTGATTGCGATTCAACAGAGAAGGAAGAAAACAGTTTCACATCATCAGCATACATTAAGATCTGGCTGGAATTAACCACCGATGGGAGATCGTTAATGTATAAACTAAATAAAATGGGACCCAAGTGACTTCCTTGAGGTACGCCAGACGTAACGGGGAATTCATCCGAGCTAATGAAGTTAAACAAAACTCTGAAGGATCTATTGTGCAGATAAGAGCTTATCCATTTCACTAAGTAGGGTGGGAAACCAGAGGCTTGGAGTTTAAAGATAAGTAGTCTATGGTTAACCAAATCAAATGCTTTGCTTAAATCAGTGTAAATAACATCTGTGCGAGAGCCACTAGAAAAAGCCTTGAAAACATGACAGGTAAACTCTAACAAGTTGGTGACTGTAGATCGCCCTTTCCGAAAGCCGTGCTGGTGCGGAGAAATATACGAATTAATGGCAAAGGCTAAATGCTGAGTCACAATACGCTCGAACAACTTGGGCAAGACACTCAACTTGGCTATGCCTCTGTAGTTCTCAACAAATTGTCTACTTCCACTCTTGTGGATAGGAATAAGGAAACTACTCTTCCAACATGAAGGGAAAACACCTGAACACAAGGACATGTTAAAAATCTTTGAGATCACACCACACAACTCGACAGCGCAAGATTTAAGTACACATGATGGAATTCCATCAGGTCCAGGCGAACAACTGTATTTTAGAGAACTTAACCCTTTGAAAACATCATCTTCCGAAATAACCAAGTTAGGTATTGAAACCGAGTTAGTTATAGGATATGGGTAGTTTCCTGATAACTCAAAATTAGCAATCGAAAAGTTTCGTCGGAAATACTCAGCAAATAGATTTGAGATTTCAAAATCATCCGAGGAACCAGAGCCATTAAAAGAAACATGAGAGGGATATGTGGAAATTTTTCTTTTAGAGTTAACAAATTTAAAGAAGAATTTTGGATTAGCAAACAGAGAGGATTTAATGAACTGAAGGTATCTGCAGTAATAATGATGGTTGAGGGAGTTAAATCTATGCCTCGCCACCGAGTAAGCGACATAGTCGAGCGCAGAGCCACTTTTCGAATATTTTTTGAATAGCGAGTTTTTTCTATTCTTGTGATATTTAATTGTCTTATTAAACCACGGGGGACATCTGCTTCGAGGTCGACAATGCTTGATCGGAACAGATGCAGCAATAGCTAGATTTAATGTATTGTAGAACGATGGCATTAAGTTTTCAATACTACCGGTTGAGAAATCAAGCGTCAGATGTGAAAGACGATGTTTTAGTAATACAATATTGATTTTATGAAAATCATAATAATTATTTAAACAAGTTTGAGTTGGCACATTAAGGCATTCCAACAAACCATCATTAATATGATGAAAGGAAATGCATATTGATGGATGATAAGGATCCTCAGGTAAACTAAAAGGTGGGCAACGATTTACGTAAATCTCGGGAAAATTGGCAAAGCAGAGATCAAGCAGTCTACCATTACAATTAGGGGTACGATTATATTGAACCAAATTGTGATCAAACAATTCATTAAAGAACACAACAGCCCTATCAGACGTTGAAGTAGGAACCAAGCAGCCAGAATTATCAGTGTTACACCAAGTGACTTGAGGCAAATTGAAGTCACCCAATGCAACGACCAAATCGGTGGGTCTAGACCGCTTGGCCACTTCACAAATGAGGGCAGCGTGTTTCCCGTAAATGGAGATATCAGAATTTGGGGGAATATAGGAGCAGGTTATGAATAGATGTTTATCAGGCATATTCGCACGAATAGCGATAAATTCAACGTCAGGAGAAGTGGGAAATTCAATTAAATTGGACGGGAGTGACGCAGATATGGCAATTAATACACCACCACCAATGCGATTTACTCGATCATTTCTAAACACTTGGAAAGAATTATGAAAAAGTTCCGACGAATGTAGATCGGGTTTTAGCCAGGTTTCAGTAAAGGCCAAATAGAAAAATTCCGTGCTCACTGAATTTAGAAAAGTGGAACGAATTTTCGAATTTAGGCCCCTAACATTTTGATAAATGAGAGATAGTGGGCCTGAAGAAACAATTAGTTTTTTGAAGGCGACAAGACTATTGCCTTGGTATTACGGGGACGATCACGAGGGATAAATTCCTTAATTAAGGATCCTACCGGCCACAGTGATTTGTTTAACAACATATCACTGTTTTCAGTCGGAACTAATATTTTAAAAGAGGAGATTGCCCTAGCTTGAGAAGGAGCCATTTTGAAGATGCTAACACGCTTTAAGTTGACTGATGGGACTTTCGTCGCCAGATAACCTTTTATGTTATCCACCGATGTTTCAGGTGCTAGTCTTGATACAAATATTGCTTTTCTGGGAGGAACTGCCGTCAAGCAAATGTCATTATTTGGAACAGGAGGGGGGTTCACAGTAGGAGAGTTTCGAGTTGGGGAAAATATAGATGGGGTTATCGCCCTTGTACCGGCAGCTTGTGAGACTTGCCCAGTCTGGTGACCAGCATTGACACGCGAACAGGCAGGAGGAGAGGATGACTTATTTTTCTCTTTATTACTTTTAGGCGATGGCACTTGATTAGAGTGAGTGGCGGCTCTGGGCGGAGATACCCTTGCCACTTCAGCGTAGCTTAAAACCGATGGACTTGCCGGTTTGTTTGTAACTGTTTTGCTACCAACCGACTCAGCAATATCGGAAACATTACTATTCATTTTAGAGTTAGAAGGAGCGGTAACTTGTACCAACGAATTAGATTTGGAGAAAGCCAGAGGTGACGTCCCACACGCTACGCTACGAGTAGAAGATGAGTGTCCAATAAAGCGACACTCATCAAACCTAGACTTAATGAGCTCAAACTTTTCCCACAAGGAGCCGAGATTTCTACTCAATTCCGAGAAACCATAACGGGTCTCCGTGAAAAGTTTATAAAAGTCAATGTCCCGCTGCCTACAGTCAGGACATGACCATCTTAAGCCTTTAGAAGGATCAGCGACTGCGTCAGCAGCACGGCCGAGAATACCGGCACACTTTGCATGACCGAAGCGCTCGCAGAGCCAACAAGAAACGAATCTTTCAGAATCCGGGCCTGATTTCGCCCGACAAGGTGTATATAAACACTCCATGTCCTGTCAAAAAGACAGTTGTTGATTATGGAGAACAGACACACAAATCACTAAAAAAAAAAAAAAAAAATCCTGAATATAAAAATTTATCAACCAATTTGTGCAAAACTTCTCTGTTAGGTTGACACTGTAACGAGAGATCACTAGCAACACAAACTTCAAACAGTAAAAAAAATAACAGAGAAAAAGAGAGAAAACAAAAAAAAAGAGATTTTCATCAGAGCTCAAAATTTTTGTTTGCAAAACTCAAATGAATCAAATGAAAGCGTAAAAGAAAAATATTTCTTTTACTTTGAATTCACTCACTTTCTTCTCAAAGAATATAATAAAATCACACACTAAGGAAGAATAGCCACGAAATTCAAGAAAAAAATTAAAATTTTATTTGCCGACACAAAAAATACACGACTATACCGCGCGACAAAGTTGCCAGACTGGCAACAATGTGACTTTCGTCATAATCATAAATAAATATTTATTTTCCTTTTAGAAAACAAAAAAATCTCGATTACGAACAAATAAAACATTCAGATGTGATCTAACAAAAGCTGTAACATTTCCGGCATATTGTTTGCTACACAATAGTGCAGTAAACATGTTTGGGCATTGTTGTTTGTTTCGTTGACGTGTATCCGTTCACTTTGAAATTATTACTAACTATAACTGCTCATATTTACGCATATTATAATATAATATTTCAAATAAAAATATTTAAAAAAATATATTTTTCAATTCATTGTTTACAACGCTAACACCATTTTTACAGGCAAATCACGCTCTTTGCATCAAATTTTTAATGTTTCATGTATTGTTTTCCTTTCGAAATTGTGAAGGGTTTTTTGGCCTACTGCCGGTTCCGCAGGAACCTTTTTGCGAGAAAAAGTCAAACTGCGCCGCCACAGTTGACTGTATGCGTTTGCCGATCTCGCTGTCCGCCATATGTTGCAACATGCATGTATAAAACATTTTATATGCTTGGTGGAATGCCTTGTGTACCTTCGCTTTCGGGAACGCCGGTTACAAGTATTCTGAGGAGAGGATCCAGTTGTCCTTTCGCTCCTTGATGACAACTCAAATTTAAAAGTGATATAGTAAGTAAGTAAGTTTTTCGAATGACATTTGCTTAACTCTTGCATAAATTCTGAATAAAGTTTACTAAAATCCTTCCTCTACCGTTTAAGACATGCATTCTTCTTTTGTTTTGCCTATTTTCAAAAACGTCCTTACGGAAATTAACTGAAAGCACATAAGCGAAATTTAAACTTACTCCTTCAATTACTGTTCTTACCTCAGCTTTGGTACAATATGAGAAATATGCAAAAAAGTTGACAAAAGCTTGCATCCAATTAACACCGATTACTAGTTATTAGATTATTAGTTGTGTAACATTATACTTAAAAAAGCCCATAAAACATATGAGCCCTACAGAACGAACTTTTTATCTGATTCGGGACAAGTACTTGTCAGTCAAAACAAAGTATGACAGTTTCGGACAAAAACGAGTTTCCGAGTAAAACTTATTCCATTAAATAAACATGCCTTCAACAACCAGCAAAAAAGGAGCAATTCGAAAAAAGGTTTATGTCAATAATTTATAAG